TCCCACTTCTGACACCAATGTTATATACTCGCTGTCGTAACCGGTTACGATGCGACGGGTTCAAATCTTCGATTGAATAAAATACTCCAAACAGTTATTAAACTTTATTTACAGAAGAAATCAACTATTATTAGTTATTAAACTTTATTTACAGAAGAAATCAACTAATCGTTTATTTCCAGTAAATTCGCACTAACGCAACAATTAACTTTTAAATCTTTCAAAATCTATCGCTATGACAACGTCAACAAACAATTCAAATATCGCTTTAAATAATTCACCGAATCGCTATTCACAAAATCACGAATTTCACTAATCACGAATATCACTAATCACGAATATCACTAATCACGAATATCCCAATCACGAATATCACCAATCACGAATATCACCAATCACGAATATCACCAATCACAAATATCTTGCGACGTGCGCTTATATACTCTTCGCAAGCGTCGTTTCTAGATTCTTCCCGATGGTCCGATTCCAGCATACTCTAGAACGTTCCAGTCACTAGAACATTCTAGAATACGCTAGAATCTAGTGCGTTCGGTAGCACGGTTATAACAATATTAATATAAAATGGTAGTAGTATTATTGGCAAATTGTAAACAGTGTACTATATTATTCGCAGTAGCAGTAGTAATAGTAGAAGTAGTAGTAGTAGTATTAGTAGTAGCAGTAGATAGTTGTAGTAGCAGCAGTAGAAGTAGTAGTAGTTGCTGTTGCAGTATGAGTAATATTAGTAATAATAATAATAATAACAATAATAATAGTAGTATTAGTAGTAGTTTTGATCGTTTGAAAATAATTTAACTTACATTGTAAGACATCTGTCAAATTTGGTCCCAAAAGGTAGCAGTAGCAGTAGTAGTGGTAGTAGTAGCAGTAGTAGTGGTAGAGGAAGCAGCAGAGGCAGCAACAGAAGTATTATAGTTGTATTAATTTTGAGCGATTGAAAATAACCTCATTTACATTCTAAAACATCTGCTAAATTGAAACGCAAAAGGTATAGTAGTAGTTGTAGTAGTAGTAGAAGTTGCAGCAGCAGTATTATTATTATTATTAATTATTATTAATACTATTATTATTATTATTATTAGTAGTAGTATTAGTAGTAATAATAGTAGTAGTAGTAGTAGTAGTAGTAGTAGTAGTAGTAGTAGTAGTAGTAGAAGAAGTAGCTGTTTTATTTAAGTGAACGTTTGAAAATGAATAAAACCTCAGTTCGAATATAAATCTCATTTTATCTTCTTTTGGATTGAAACTTATGAATGAAGATAACTTCGACCTCATCATTTTGACTTTGCCGTTATTTTTTTATTATAGTAATAGTAGTAGTAGTAATAGTAGTAGTAGTTGTTGTTGTAGTATTAGTAGTAGTAGTATTAGAAGAAGTAGCTGTTTTATTGAAGTGAACGTTTGAAAACGAATAAAACCTCAGTTCGAATATAAATCTCATTTAATCTTCTTTCGGATTGAAACTTATGAATGAAGATAATTTCGACCTCATCATTTTGACTTTGCCGTTAATTTTTTTATTACATAACAATTTTTTGGCCAGCCAAAAACGTTGACAGTTGTCCCCTTCACACAGACTTGCTGCTCTTTTTATGTTTAGTTTCAGTCTATGATTTTTCTTTAATATCGTACAAAGTCGATATTTTCAATTTTTTTTTGACCCAAGCCTAAATAGATTAATATAATATAAAAGAAATGTTAGCAGAATAAACTATTTTTATAATTTGTTTCTAAGCACCGTCATATCAGCGCCAAAATATGACTTACCTTCACAGGTAGATCCAATTCTTCGCTACTATCGAGCATTCATAAAAAGAACTCTAAGGGGTTCTTATCATTTGAATGAAACTGTTTGAAAATAAATAATAATTATTAAATTATTAACTAACTTTTTTTTATTTATAGTAATAAAAATTTTGTCCAACCACTTTTTAGATTTTGAGTTGTAAAATATCTTTGAAATTATTTAAAACTATTTATTATAAAATTGTCTTGACTTAAAAACCATTTTTCTTATCTTCACTCACTTGCTATCAAGGAATCATAATAAAAACTATACGGGAAATTATGTTGCTCCCAATTTTTCAACCCTTCCGAATCGATAATGATTATTGTGTTAATGATTAATTATTTATATTTGTAAAAATAAAAGTTTTGTCCAATCATTTCTTTGATTAGGAATTTTTAAATTATCTTAAGTTCATTTTACACACACACACGCACACACACACACACACACGGTAAATAATTAGCGATAGCATTTCTCAATAATTCTTTTAAATAATAGTTAGTTAAATCTGACAGGAATTCGGATTTCACAAATTTTAAACTGGTATATTGCCATTGCTTGCTGTCAACCGCACCATATACGCTGAGTATATGATAGCCATTGAGATGTTTGACTCAGCGCGCATTTGAACCACTGAGTCATCTCACCGGCCGACATGCAACAACTTAGTCGTCTCCATCGACAACTACTACAAAGTATTAAAAGTCAATAGTCGCCAATGTCCTGAAATGGATAAGGCACAAAAAAAATTATAAAATGATTTACATAAACAGATAGCAAATATGCTAACTGTGAATCGTATGTATCAAAAACTATAAGCTCTTCTGAGGGGTCGTATGCCCAATGTTAAGGCGTTTCAAACGAGATTCACAAGTTGGAATTCCCGTGTACTAACGATTAATTAATTAATTTATTTATTCAATTATTATTTAATAAATTTATTCATTTATTGATTTTGACAGTGGGGTATCTCGTTTCAGTGTGGTGGGGATTTTTAAAATTCTTATTTTTACGACCTCTTTTTGCTAATTCAGAACACAATCTTCTTCTTCTTATTGGTTTAAGACTGCCAAAAATGTAATTATTGATGAAAAAATCATAACATTCTCGGCGTTAGTTAACTTCCAATTTAACTTTTCGAGTTTCTAACGGTTGTTAAAAGTTAAATTAAAAGTTAACCAACGCCGAACATGCTGTGATTTTTATCAATAATATATATATAAAATATATCTATATAATATATATATAATATATAATATATATATTTAACTTCATATATTAAATGATTCCTATTCAAAACAGAGTCATCTTTAGGAGTGAGTTTTATTTTTATTAGTATCATTGATTGGTGCCACATTCTTTCTTGATTTGTTTGAGGACGACTTTGTCTATTTTATGTGCCGTTTCCATATGATTTCTGATATATAAAATTAGGTCGTTGGCATTGTTTTTTGATATTTCCAAACTATAGTCTTTGTTGAATGGTGCTCTCAATGGACGATGTTTTGTAACCATTGCTTACGAGTAGATTAGTAATTCTTTTCAGTTCTTTATTGCGATCTTCAGTTGAGGATGAATGCGTGAATGCACGGTTCATTTTATTGATTTTATTTTGAATTGTTCCGTACATTCACTTAACCCATTAAATAAATACCTTTACTTGATGCTTTGACGTATACGGCAGTAACGAATCTTTGTTCATCAGGCGTTATCAAAATATCCAGAAATGACAATAAAATTTCACTTTCGTGCTTGATGGTGAAATTCAATTTTGATCAGTTCATGGATGCAAGTAGCTGGTTAACTTGTTCAGGATTATCGTATGCGACAAAGATAGCGTCAATAAATCCGGTACAAATTTTTGTTTTTAATTCCGGACTCTGACTTTACGAATCTAAAATCTATGAAAAATCCATAATTTGTTGATTACAAATCTACTATCATTTTATTAATAACAGACACTTTAGTAAAAAAAATTTTGTAATGGCTAAACGCTATGGCTATTATTATTTTGGGTAAAAAAATACTTTCGTGAACTCTAAACTGAATAAGAATAATAAACAAACGTTTTGTGGCATTTCAATTCTTTGTCATAACATCAAAATATAAACAACAAAAAAGATGTTATTTGAAAAACAATTTTTCAATATGATTTTATACTTTTTCATTATATTGTGTGCCACGATCGTTAATTCAGGTAATGTTTGATAATATTTTTGAGGTGATTATGGAAATTTTGAAATATTAATGAAATATCTTGAATTAATTTGTTAAACGAATTAATAAATAATTTGAAAACAGAATCAAATAACCCTTTAGAGTTACTAGGTTGTTCAAAAACTCCACCGTTAGGGAAGTTATGTGGACACTTTCTACTTTGTTATGAAACCTGTCCATTTGGTTATATTGTAAAGAAAATTATTCATTTTCAAAAAAAATTTAATATGCATACTAATTTTTATTTACTCATTTTATTTTTATTTACTACATTTTATTTGCTTCGCATTTTAATAATAATAATAATAATAACATAATAATAACAATATGCTGTGATGCAAGTGTGTGCATAGAGTCAGGTTACAGTAGTTACGTGACTGTAACAGCTTTAAATTATTCATCTAATAATTTAATCTATACGGTTTTTAAAAATATTCAAATCTTTCACATCAATTGCTTCCTGAGATAAGTTTTTCCAATTGTTGACCATACGATTTGTAAAAAACTTTTTTCAGCAGTTTTTTTAACATTTTCCATTCGTAATCTTTTATTATGTCCTCTTGTTCTTGGGTCAAACACGAATATCGGTTCATTATGCCAGTTTATTGCATCTGTGCCACTTACAAATTTGTAAAACTGAATTAGATTACCTCTGGTTTTTCTTTTTTCTAACGTTGATAAACCAATCATATTTAATCTGTCATGGTATGGTAAGTTTTTTAGTTTACATATTCTGGTTGCTCTTTTCTGAACTTGCTCTAACTTTTTTATGCCCCCTGTTAGACATGGATTCCAGACTGTAGCCGCATACTCCAGGTGCGGTCTTACCAGAGATGTATAAAGCAGTTTTAGTGATTTTTCCTCTAAAAACTGAAAAACTTTTCTAATCATGCTTAGTTTTCTGTTGGTTTTCTTAACTGCATAATAGACATGTTCTTTCCATTTAAGATCATTTGACACATAAATACCCAAGTCTTTTTCAAGTTCAGTTTTATTTAATTTTACTTTTCCTTTCCTATCATTATACACATAATAATCAAATCTAGGATTATTCCTACCAATATGCATTATTTTACATTTTTCAGTATTAAATTTCACCTGCCACTCGTCTGACCAATTAAACATTTCATACAAATCATTCTGTAAATTTGTATTAATTTTATCATCTTCTATTAGTTTAATAATCTTTGTGTCATCAACATATAATTTACAATTATTTCTGACGTTCATAGTAAGGTCATTGGTGTAGACCACAAATAGTAATGCTCCAAGTACCGACCCTTGAGGAACCCCACTCAGGACATCTATCCAGCTTGACACATACCCCCCATTACCACTCTGCTTTCTTTTATTTGAAAATGCTTTGCACCAACCTAACAATTCATCTTTAACACCAAGATTTTCTAATTTTATACATAATCGTTCATGTGGTACAGAATCAAAAGCTTTAGCAAAATCAAAAAATGCTATGTCGACAGGTATATTATGTTCATTTGCTTCTGTTATTATATCAAATGTTTCTTAGTGCAACAGCTTTTATTATTTACAAAACCATGTTGTTCTTTGATAATTAATTTATTTTCATTTAGATGTTTCATTAGTGTATTTCTTGTTATATTCTCCACTATTTTGCAAACTACAAATGTTAGAGAAACCGTTCTATAGTGTGATAGATCTAATTTATTACCTTTCTTATATTATATAAGGGTGTAACGTTAGCAAATAGCCAAAATTCTGGTACTTGACCGTTTTAGTATGATTTATCAAATAATATTTTCAGTGATTTTGCTAGACTTTCTGAGCACTCTTTGAGAATTCTAGCATGTACATCATCTACTCCAATAGCTTTATTTACATTTAGATTTCTTAACTTAGTCTTATTAATGATAAGACCATAAGATGGGTCTAGCATTTGTTTTTGGTAGAGAAGTAGGAAAATTATTTTTATCTTCTATTGTAAAGAAAGAGCTGAAATAATTGTTCCAAATATTTGAAATTGCATATCCGTCCATTTGTTACTACAGAACCATCAAAATTTTTCGTAGCTTTTATGGAATCTCGAAAAACTATTTTTCCATTCATATAGGCATATATTTTTTTAGGATGTTTTTTTGCATCTGTTGCTAAATTTTGTTCAAAATCCCTTATACATTTTCTTACCAATTTTTTTATTTCTTTATTAATGGCTTTGTAATCTAGGACTTTAACATGATCCCTAAANCTATTCTTCTTGCGTTCATACCCATAAATCCTTCTTTTTTCTGCTCAT